GTCACCATACTTGACTATTTCTGACGGTTAAAAGTAACTAATTTCTTTAATCGTTTACGGCCAACAACAAAGTATTATTTGAATTAAATGCATATACCTCTCCATGGTTAAATGACCCATAAAACAAATAAAGATTCAAAAAGTTTAGCTCAAAACAGCAACACAAATAATATATTAAACTTTAAAATATTATGAACAATATTTATGGACAAATAAAATTGATTTTTATAAGAGCGGCTGACAGCCGAATGCGTTATGAGGTTAGCTTGACAAACTTGTCAAGTGACAGACCTGAGTTCAATCCCAGGCTGGGTCAAAACTTTTTTTAAATTTAAATTTACTAATTTGACTATTTCATTCAGTGGAATTTGACTAATTATTAGTGACTGCTTTTTCGCTATGACAATTAGTCAAATATGACTTATAATTAGTTATTTTTGACTAATTCATTTTAAGAGAGTACATAATATTTTGGCATCAAAATTGTCAAAAATATTCTTCTTTTATTAGGTTATACATTAAATTAAAAAAACGCAAGAAATATTTTATAAAAGTAGATATATTTTAATAATTGAAAGGTGTGGACGGGACAAAAAAAAGATTTATCTTGTCCCGTCCACCCCCGTCAATTATTGAAATTATCTCTACTTTTATAAAATATTTCTTGCGATTTTTTTTATTTAATGTATAGCATAATAATAGAAGAATATATTTGACAATTTTGATGCAAAAATATTATATAATAAATTACCTACAATTTTTTTATAAAAACAGTTTTGTGATTTGTCCTGTCCATCCGCTTGAAATGGCCGAAATACAATAATAATCTCCATTTATTGTTTAAATTTTAAAACCAGTAGCGAAACTGTTTATAGCAAAAGAAGCGGTGCGGGAGGCCTAAGCCTCTGAAATGGCGAAAGAAAGTGCAAAACTCTTTTAATTTCACCGAATTTTTTTTTAATTTTCATTGACTTTTGCAGGGGAGCCTGATTTTGAAGTTCCGCCACTGTTTAAAAGGATAATAATCTATTAACTTTAATCTATTATAATGGGGGTTATAACTCTTGTCAAACCAAGCAGTGGCGGCTGGTGGATTTTGGGTATACCAATATTTCATTTATTAGACATAGGACCCACACCAAATTTATAATAGTTTATAATGACATTAAATAGGCAAGTTCGGCGCAAACAGAATTTAAATTAATGTTTGCGAAAAAAAGTTATTAAAATAAAAAAATATTTAAAATGGTATAAAACCTGTAGTATTTGGATTTTTTAAATAAAATTTTAAATTTGTCGATAAATTATAGTAGATAATAAATTGCACCACTTTAATTTGAATTATCTCAAATAGGGGGGCCTGGAGGCGGGTGAGGCAACAAGAAAAACTAACTTTTTTTCGCAAACTTCAATTTAAATTCTGTTTGCGTCGAACTTGTTTATTTAATGTCATTATAAACTATTATAAATTTGGTGTGGGTCCCATGTCTAATAACTGAGATATTGGTATACATAAAATCCACCAGCCGCCACTGAAACCAAGAGTTGGTCAGCAATGGCCCAAAACATAAATGTTCGTGAATATTACTATGTGGCATTATTTTCTATTACTGGCCTTCCATTTATTCTTATAATTTATAAGTATATGGGGCAGTCCACGCCAAATCAGCCAAGAGTAAGACTGTTTCCGATTTGCTTCAAATTTTCTCAAAAGGATTGAGAAAGTTCCCAAATCATTATTAATTTTTTGAGCAGCATTAAAAGTGAGGTATTTTGCAAATAATTTTGTTTACTCCAGAAAAAGTTTTTGGCGGTTGGGATTTTAATAAAATATAGTTTGAAAATATTAATGTGTGTGTGAGAGAAAGAGAGAGAGAGAATCGTTAAACCATTTTTCCTCCGTAAGACCGAGCGCACGTCTCTCGGAATCGCGCGCCGCGGCGTAGCTACGCGTAGGCTTGGATCTGTAGCGACGATTTCACATGCATTTCTTTACAAAAAAATTCATAACTTCTACAGTTTTTGAGTCGCCCCAATAATAAGTAGTCAAAATTTGCGGAAAATTTAGGGCTATCATCATGATTTTTTTTTTAATTTGATGTGGCGTTTTTTGGAAATTTAAATTTTGGGAATTTTTGAACAAAATTTTTTAATTTTTACTTTATCTTAAAGAGCGTCAAAAAAATGTTCATATGATTTTTTTCGATTTTTTTTGGGTTTTTAAATAATAAAAAAATAAGAGAAGTGGCATTTTTTTGAGAATTTTTGAACAACATTTTTTAATTTTTATTTTATCTTAAAGAGCGTCAAAAAAATGTTCATATGATTTTTTTCGATTTTTTTTTGTGTTTTTAAATAATAGAAAAATAAGATAAGTGACATTTTTTTTGTTTATTATGTAAAACTTTCAAAAATGCATAAAAGAGGTTGAAATTTTAGATTTCTCCATTACTTTAGTTCATCTATCGACCCTGAAAATTTGAAGCAAATCGAAAAGTCTTACTCTTGGCCGGTTTGGCGTGGACTGCCCCATATATATTTGAATATTGTATAGAAAAACATAAAAATGCGTTTGCTAAAATTTTATATTTCAAGAATGAATACTTTATAAGATAATAATTATTTATGTCATAAGGCTGAAAAGTGAGTATTTTTGTGCCTAAGGGTTTTTTGATTGATATGTCATTAGGAGGAGAAGTACCTAAGTCTTTTTGCACTTTGCCCTGTCGCAAAAAATTTCTTATTTTAAGCTGATTTAAAAAAATATTAAATTTTTGTTTAGGCCATTTTCAAAAATTTCACCCATTAGGAGATTGCTAATTTTTGGACATTAATTTGCCTTACACACACAAAAATGTAAAAACAGGCCGAATATTATAGGTTATTTACAAAAATGTATTCTACAATGACCTGTAGGTTTACATGGTCTCTGCTGATTTCGAGCTACACGCGGTAGGTGGAAACACTCTTCCTATATAATTTCAATGTTTTTTCATTATTGTACGGCAGTGTATAATAAATTGACTTTTGAACTTCCCACAAATATGAAGTCTTTCTACAGTCTTTCTTAGACATTGTTATAGTGTTATAATATGAAAATTGTTATACGGTTGAAAAAAAATTAATATTGTACTATTACAATAATTAACAATTTAGGGCTGCGTTGAGCCTAAAAATATTAATATTATATTATTTTAGAAAATAAAATTATTTTTAAAGCCTAGGCTCTAGGCGATAATCAATCACGTTAGTAGTGGGTGTTGACAATAATAAAGTTTAAATTATAAGACGTTTAAAGATAAAAACAAATTCAATTTAGCCAAAGAGTAGACTAAGACGCTATTAGGGAATGCAATCTTGCAGGAAAATGTACAATCTTGGTATAGCAAGATTTAAGAGGGGTAATCTCGCAAGATCTCGATATTTTGCGAGATCTCGCAGATTTAAGATTAATAAAATAAGAAATTAGTATAATTATTTGTATTACAACTTTGTTAGGTTATACCGTAAAGGCAAAATAATGAAATAAAACATAAATTAAATAATTTATTTAAGACTATTCCACTCATTACTTTATGGACCAATCAGATTTCAGAAAACGAGTATTTTTTTCAGTCTTGCAGCGATAAAACTACTACCTATTTAGGTAAAAATACCACTCGTTTATACGACCAACCAATTGGTTGCTATGCTAAAAATAATTGTCAATGTTGACGTTACTAAATTTAAAATAAAAATGTCAAAAAATATGCGTTTTGGTAAAAAAAATCATACAGAAATTGAATCGGCAGTTAATTCTAATTAAAAAAAAATATTCGTAAAATAGTCTTGCCGAATACCACTCGTAATAAAATTTTCCCTAGCCTAGCGGCTCGTGGTCTTAAAAATTAATGCAAAATTTCCAAGAAAAAAACATTCGTATAAAAATTTTACCACATATAGGAATAATCATCAAGCTATTAAAGCAAAAAACATAAACAAGACTAAAATTATTTATTGAAAAAACTATACATTATATTGAAAATGACTTCTCAAAAAACACAAAACACACATGGAATGCGCTGGATCCTAATCTCGCAAATCTTGCGAGATCGCGCATGATTTTCGTGCAAGACTAATCTTGCAGAATTAATGCGAGATCTTGGTATTTCCAGATCTTGGTATACCAAGATTGCATTCCCTAGATGCTATATGAGATTTTTTCTAACTTTCTAAAAAAAATATTAAAATTATTTATAAATAAAAATTACATACACTACTTATTTATTCACCCAATTTTTCAGTGACATTAATGTATAAAAGGTGAATATTTTTTTTAAATGACTATTTCCCTCGTCTTAATTTCCACCAATCACAAGCGCGCAATTTTTAATTACAAATGGTTTCTAGGTGGAAAAACTGTATGACAGCACCTGTCAGCAGTTTTTTCGAGTTTACCCGCGGCAAAACTTGACATCTGTTGTCACCAAAATTGCAATTTATATTTTAATTACCATAAATAATTAAGTTTGTAGTATTTTGTGATTAAATAAATTACCTATTTATATATGCATGTATAATAGGTAGTATGTTTTGTAAGCTATATGTATGCAGAATAACTGTTAGGTACTCATGAAATAGTCTTGTCAAATTCCATTCAAGCATTTTATTTTTCCTGTGAAAAAAATCGAATAAACACAATGCTAAGTAATATTTTTTTATCAAAATGCATTTGTGCAGGTGCAAAAATCCTCGTCTTCGACTCGGATTTTTGTTGCCACCAGCACTCATGCGTCTTGTTAAAATATTACTTGGCAACGTGTTTTTTCGATTTTTTTCACAGGAAAAATTAGATGCCCTTATGATAATACTTACGATAAAAGATTTTAAGATGTGAGAACAATTCTCACTCGCGAGTTTTCATGTTGAATTTTTTCTAGCGAGTTATCCAGGGTAAACATATTTACAATTCTTAAAAAATGTATCGTATCCTATCTAAAACTGCAAAAATTATTGAAAACATGAAAGTTGGTAGCGTTCCAGGTTATGTACATACTGGCCTTTAGTTATGAAAATTAATCTCTTAACAAATATATATATATTTCAAATAAATATTTTTTTCAGGTTACTCGGCTGCAGCCCTCCTCGCCATATTATTTGCTCTTCCGTTCGCGTGGCGGGTCCTTGTGCACCGCGAGCACGGTCACTGGGACCACTTTGTGCCTGCATTCTACTTCGCCCATCTGGAACTATTCCTGGGCAACGGTTGTCTGGGCATCGGTGTCATGATGCTGTTGGCGCTAACTCTTGAGCGCTATGTAAGCGTGTGCCACCCAGGGCACGCCAGACCCATCCTGGGCTCGCCCAGGCGAGCTGTCTGCCTTATTCCAGCTGCCACTTTTTTACTGTACATGCCCATCATATTTAGGAGTCAGATAAGAGCGTGCAGATTGGATGGGGTCACGTTGTATCAGAGACAAGAGTCTTTTACTTATACCGAGCATACCGTTTACAGTATTTATAAGGTTGCTTTGGAATTTATTTTTAAGGTAAGTTATCAAGTGTAAATACTAAACTAAATAAAACAATATCGGAGGATAATTTAAATTACCAAACACGTAATATCATCATGGTTTTGCGTGTGGTGTGGCACATCTTGTTAAAACCACATTAATGTATACCTATAAGATCTATCTATCCTGACGATTCTATAACTCGAGAAAAAACACAACAATCTTGAAATCCCAAGGACCATTTTCATTTTTTATATCTACTGTACGAAAGAAGTTCCTAGTTGCCAAGTACATTTTTTATTTTCAGGTCGTTCCAGTTATTTTACTTGCTGCCCTGAATCTAAGAATCCTCATAGTATACAGAAGATCTTGCGAGAAAAGAAGAAAAATGACCTTAAGCAGAACAACTTCTGGAGAAGAAGATCCAAGGAAATTTGCCGAAGAAAGGAGATTGGTTCTTTTACTGGGATCGACAAGCATTTTATTTTTGGTTTGCGTCACCCCCATGGTCATTCTCAACGTTACTTTATCCGACAATAATCTTCTAAATTACCCTTATCAAGTAAGAAATATCTTTCAGATGCACAATGTTAATTATTTTAATTCATCCAATTGAGTTCCAATATATTTTCATTTTTGAACATTTTATACATCGAGCTTACAAAAGGAGTACGAACTAAATCGCACAAATTACTTTCACCACTAGCGGCGCTGTTTTCCATTTTGTACTGACGTCTGCTGTTTCCGTACAAACCAAACAACAAACAAGACTAGCACTTTCTTATTTTGGGATAATATTTGTATACATGGAGTTCGTACTCCTGTCCAGGCTCCATGATTCTGTATCTCGAAAACAAGGGGTTTCCGGAAACTATAGTTATTTTAATGCAACAAATGTCTCCTTAATTTGTTCTCAATATTAATGCAAGTCCATTTCATCTTCGACATTTTAAAATTTCATTTGACTCGGTTAATCAGTTCAAGGGCAATAAGATATTGTTTAAAAAGTAAACAAAAATTTTACTACCTACCTATATTACTATTTTTTTTTACAAAAACAAATTAAATCAAGAGATTTTTAAAGTCAAATATAAATGTTTTTTCATATTTCTATAAAATATTTTTGCATTGTTATTTTACGGATTCTGACCCTAATCGCAATTTTAAAAAGTAAAGTAAAACCTTTTAACCATTTCGCTACGACGCTACTGTGTCAGAGGTGAATGTTGCAAACTCTGCAATGATGATTAATTAACCTTATATATTTTTTCATTATACTGCTTGGATATATCGATGACTTTCTGCCAAAGTATCGCAAGCAACATAACTCAAATTTCGGGAATTGAAAACATTTTTTGTTTTAAAGTCTGTTTTAAACCATATATAACCTATATGTTTTATAACAAGTAAATAGGTTTAATTATAAGCTAAGTAATTACTTGTTATAATATAAAACCTTTAGGCTATATTTAATTTAAAACAGACAAGCAAAATGTTTTCAATTCCCGAAATTTGGTTTATGTTGCTTGCGATACTTTGGCAAAAAATCATCGTTATTTGTCCCTTAAATTCATTCGGTTGGGACATATATGTATGTCCCAAATATAGGTCTTAAAATAGGCCCCTAAAATTATTTTATTACAATAAATTATTTCCAATGTTTACCCCAGTCCATTGTTTAATAAAAAAAAATTTCAAAAAATTGTAACGCGTCAGTTTATTGGGACGTATAGGACCCATTAGTAGCAAAAGGGTTAAGTTAGCATTTGGATACATATGGTCACCCTGTTATAGACAAATGATGATTATTTTCTTTTGCAGGTATTTCGTGCATTAGCCAATCTTCTCGAAGTGACCAACTATTCCATAACTTTTTACATCTACTGCCTGTTCTCGGAGGATTTTCGTAACACATTGTTACGCACACTAAGTATACGAGGCAGCCAGCCGACCAGGGGCATGGTGAAACCGCCCCCACCGACTGCCACGACCACAATCACCCAACACCGGAGTGTTTGATATAAATCAAACAGGCCGGTGGCGACGCCGGTCTAAATTTTTCTAATATAGATAGATAGGTTTGAAGGTTTTGTACAGTTTTTATATTTTACGTCTGGTGCTATATTAACTGAGACTATAACATACTGCCGAAGTAATACCAAAGTTTATGGTTTAATCTTCCTTTATTTCCTTTATAAAGGGTCCGAAAAGTTCCTTGTCCAAGAAATAGTACATTGTAGACATTTTTTCAAGCTGAAAGATGATAAGTAAAGGGAGCTTTAGCAAGTCTGGACATTTATTGAAGCCTGGAAAAAAAACTTTTCCTGTGTTGTTTACATCTTATTTTTCTTCCTACACAACATTAGAGACCCTTCAACAAATGTTTATGAAGGGCCTCTACACAAAATGGCTGCAATTATTTTATTTTGACTTGTACATCATCTACAATTTGCTGCATTTGGCGAATTTCTTTTATAATCTGTGTTTTGGCGTGTCATCATCATACAGTATTGTGAGAATTAATGTGAAGTTCACATTAATTCTCACAATACATTGTAAACACAAACAGATTTACGTTAAATATTATTTATTAAAATAAAAAATACAAACAGTACTGTTTTATGAATATTGTAGCCTTTATTAAAACTTTAACTCGTTTTGGCATAGAATTAATCATTGTTTTGCAATTTTCCTTTATTTTGTCATCTCGAAACCATACCTGAATGACAGCCTCAATCATCTTAGTTTTTGTTGTAGAATTCATTTATACCAACCTGTCCTTGCATATAGCCCACAAATTCTCAATAGGATTAATGTCCGGTGAGTTTACAGGCCAGTCTAGAAGGATTAACTTTTTGTCCTGGTGTAAATTAGTCGCAATAACCGGCAAAATGACTGACATTAGCAATTACTTAGTGCAGAATTATAGGTTATGAGATAAATCCTGTCAAAATTGCCACAGCAGTGTTCGAAGTTCAAATAATATAAGTTCCGAATGTTCATTAATTCGCACAATACTGTAGATGTTGCTATGGATTAAATAGTATATTTTTCCAGTCTAGCCATTTGTGGGTGTTTTGCAAAGCTAGCCGTCCCTATGGAGACGGTAAATTTAGAAAATCATAGTGTAGGAAGAAAAACAATTTACAGAGACGATTTAATACATAATATAAAAATAACAAATAAAGCTTTTACAAAAGCCTTTGTTAATTATTAATTGCTATTAAAAGTGTTGATATGAAGCAAAACCTTTAATTTTTTTAAGTTTACCTAGGTTTAACAGAAAGTTTATGTCAGAAACGAATAAATTTGCAGGCTTTTTTACACGTTTTACATATTGTTTTATTATAAATATGGGACATTCCATGCCAAATCAAATACCCTTTTGATTTGGATGAAATTTTTAAATATTAAAGATACCACCCCACTGAAAACGATCCTGTGATTTAAAGTTATATAAGTTTTTTTTAAATGAGTTTTTTTTTAATGCTTAATTTTAAAGATGTTTTTTCAATTTTTTTTGTTTTAAGTTTGATTTTATATTTTATTTCTTGAAAAAAAATATTTCCACAACCGACTTTTTGTCTATTTTCTGAATTGATTTTTATATTATAAAAATTTAAATATATAAATACACGGTGTCCAAAACTCTGTAAAACAAACGATGGTACGTTCTTCAGGAACTTAAGTGATGTACGGAAAAATATAATATTGGCAAAATTTTTCGACTTATTTATTTTGAGGAATTATTGAATATATTTTTGTGTATTACATAATTAACTACGAAGGCGTGGATACGAAGGCGTACCTAGAATGGCCAATAAAAATTTTATAAGTTTTAGCCAAAACTAACTTTAATTTTTGCAATTTCTATTCTATAATTGTAACTTGAACTTACAATTGTAACTTGAACTTACAATTGTAGGTTCAAGTTACAATTGTAGGTTCAAGTTACAATAACTTGAACTTACAATTATTGTAAGTTCAAGTTACAATAAAGGATAAACCTAAAGGTAAGTTTATTGTTCCTTCTCTCTATATATAGTATAACCAATTTAGTGTTTTTAAGAGGTAGCTATGGAACAATATTTCAAATTTTATAAGTTTTAGCCAAAACTAACTTTAATTTTTGCAATTTCTATTCTATAATTGTAACTTGAACTTACAATTGTAACTTGAACTTACAATTGTAGGTTCAAGTTACAATTGTAGGTTCAAGTTACAATAACTTGAACTTACAATTATTGTAAGTTCAAGTTACAATAAAGGATAAACCTAAAGGTAAGTTTATTGTTCCTTCTCTCTATATATAGTATAACCAATTTAGTGTTTTTAAGAGGTAGCTATGGAACAATATTTCAAAATGGGGCTTCAGCAAAAAGATTTATAAGCAGTATAACCTTAAAACGGCTTCTGTGCAGACTAGGGCTGCGATTATCAAAATTCATAATCGATTATAATCGATAATTATTGATTATCTAAAATAATCGATTTTTTCGATTAATCGATTATTGATTAATTGATTTTTTGATTAATCGATTATTTGATTAATCGAGTATTTGATTAATTGATAATATTATTAGTTAAAAAAAATGCGTTTGACCATTATAAGTTGGCGGAGCAAAGAAATGTTCATGCAATTTAGATAAATAATATTAAAAAACATACCTACTCAGTTATGTTTTTTATTATTATTTATATATATATATATAAATTATATAATATTATTATTTATATTAAAAAAATACGTTTTAAAAGCACACAACACGACAATTGTTGAATAACTAAATAACTTAATTCATTCGGTCCCCCAACTTATCGTGGTTATTATTTAAATAATAATAATTATTATTATAATAATAAAATAATCGATTATTCGATTTTTACAAAAAAAATAATCGATAATAATCGATTAATCGATTATTTTGCCACCCCTAGTGCAGAATCGATCTTGTAAGAAGAAAATTTAGTCATTTAGATAATGTTTATGCTTTTATTCTGTTTCTTATCACTACTTCTGCCCAAGTTACAATTGTAACTTGAACTTACAATTGTAGGTTCAAGTTACAATTGTAAATTCAAGTTACAATTGTAAGTTTAAGTTACAATTATAGAATAGAAATTGCAAAAATCAAAGTTAGTTTTGGCTAAAACTTGTAAAATTTTTGTTGGCCCTTCTACGCCTTCGTAATTAACTATTCACTAATTATTATTTTCTTTAATGAATCCGGTTGATATTTTGCTTTTAAAATTAGTTTAGAAAGGTATAAGAAAATAAAAATAATTAGAAAATGTTGTAATATCAAATTCAATTAAACGTAAAGTATAATTATTTTCACATACATATATGTGACAAAGTTACATTTGATAAACTATACTTAAATTACTTTCTTACTAGGCTTTATGTATTTTAATTTTTAGTTGTTGTCTTTTCTGGTAATAAATAATTAAAACTCGAAGAATTTTGCCAATATCAAATTTTTAAAACTTTTATGTTCATCACTTGAAGTTTAAAAACATACCATTACCTGTTTCACAGAGTTTTGGTACACCCTGCATACAGGGATTTTCGTAATTAAACGCAGACAAATATTTTTTTTTTAAATAAATGACAAACTTTGAAAGATTGCTTTAATTTTTTAAAACTGAAAAATGTTATAGAATATGACTAAATATTTTTACGTACGTTAAAACAAAAATTAAAACAAGTGAGTTTTTAAAAAAGTTATGAGGATTTTAAAAAATTACATTTTTTCAATTTTGCTTGGGTTTGGGTAGAAAATTTCACAGAAACGTTTTTAGTGGGGTCAATTTGGCGCGGAATCCCCTTATACATTTATATTAATTTAAAAAGATGTATGAGGTGAATAAAATGGCGGCTTATGTTTCTACAAGTGTTCTTGGTTGGACCTTCTACTTTCGCGATGTAGTCTATAGACAAGCACGTTCATATAGAAAGAATATGTTTACAGAACCTACATAAATATCGTTGAATTTTAGCGGCCTCCATAGCTATGCCTCTGGTTTTTATTAGGGTTTTAAAATTTACGGAAAAATTGAGCCGGCGCGCAGTGGGGTATTTGAGCGATCTGGGCGGTCAAAATTTTTTAGTGGTTAAATTGGGTCGAATTTTAATATCCTGCTGCTTTTTAGTAAATTTAATAAAATTTAAAGGATAATTGGCAAATATTTAAAGAAAATCAAACAAAATTAATTATCACAAATAAAAACTTTTTGGAAATTAATGACGAGTTAGTCAGAAAATGAGTTGCCTTCGTTAGACATTAATTCAGTATCATCTTTAGTTTCCTCGTCATCAGAATTCTGTACCGTATCGCTTTTTGCTGGAAGTTCAGCAGAAAGCAGCATTTCAATGGTTTCCTTAACCCTTCGTTAGGCGCCCGGTATTTTGTAAAGCGGTTGGTCGCACGGTCTACGATCGTAGCCCATGTTGAGTTTATTACTATGTGACCCCTTATATCTCAAATCATTAAAAATGTTAAAATATAAGTTTATTTATGTGTATACTTTGATAAACTGTATACTTTACATCAAAATATATGTATAGGAAGTGAAAAACAAAATATTTACATTTTTATACTTTAAATATCACGTAGATGTTTATTTAAAACAATAACAAAAAATTTAACAAAACATGTAGTAAACTAAACCTAACATACCAATATACATACAAAAAAATTCACTTTATTACAACCCTTAGAAATGGGGGTATGAAAATGACAATATTTTTACTCGGCCAAGCAGGTAATACACAAATTTTCCATGTGTTCTTTGCATGCGTGATGGCCACAAGCATCTCTTGTAGACTTATCACGGGCAAACATGGCATTGGCCAACATAATTTTGACGTTCATGCCGAATGGAAAGGGGGGCTAAAACCACTTCCAATCCAAGAAGAGTACGCGCTCGTCTTTTCAGCTCCACCGCGGTAAAGAGACAACAGTTGATCTTACTTCTATCTGTGGCCTGATTAATTTCCAGGCAAACTTCTCAATAAATTCAGTTCTAGATAGTTTTTCTTGGGGATGGTTTGCTTTATAAACGCAAAGGGCATTTATACCAGCTATATTCAAAAGATCATAGAAAATGACCTCCACATCTACACTGTTACACTTTTTTTTGTGATCTCTCACTTAATTCTTGAAATATTTTCTTAGGCCGCCCCGGTCGACTAGTAACTTTCAAAATTGTAAATTTAACTTTCAACAAATCTTTATTCTTTTTAGTAAAAGTTTCCTCTTTATTATATGCTGCAGCCCATCGAAATTTTATTTCAGACTTGAAACGTGAAAAATTATTCTTGATTTCCTTTATTTTGTCAACAGTGTAATCGTCATAACCTATCAGGAAATTTTCTATGAAATCAAGTTTCTCATTAATTGTGGGAACATTTTGTTTCTGCATCATGTTGAAAAGCTTAATTCGAGTAAAAACTTTGACGTTTGATGGACCTAAGAGAAATAAAAAATCATTAGAAACATAAATCAAGATTTGCTAAATAATTGTCATTTCGAACCTTTACAGGTTGGACACTCTGATTTCCAAAAAACAAGTGATTCCGTGGCAGTTTTAAGCGAAGTCGTAAACATGAATAATCATGATATATGATACAAGTTTTTATTTTGGCGGGGAACTCCGGGAAGTACAACTAATTTGGTCCTTTTTAAAAATTATAAGCCAAACCAAAAGCAATAATAAGCTATTTTAAATTTCACATATAAGGCTCATAATAGAAACTTATCTTAATAAAAATACCTGAAAAGTATGCTCACTTACCTGCCATCGTATAATCCAAAACAATACACTTGAAATTAAAACACAAAACGAAACTATCACCTTTGAAAAATAATAATTTTGAAGTAACGCCGCAAACAACAATTTCACTTCAAATGTTAAAAGTTTCGACTGACTGTGAAGGTATGTTTACACGTGTGGGACGGTAATAATAGTAGATTATTGTTCTCTTATGATCATTCTTTCGAGGAATAATTTGTTTTTCTACCCGAATTTACTTTTTTAAAATCGATTTTTAACCGCCCAGATAGCTTAAATACCCCTCTGTGCGGCGGAAAAAACCTTTTTTTTAGACGAAAAAATTGGGAATTTTCGGAAAAATTGACTTTTGCATTTTTTCCCTTGTATTCAAAGGCTAATACCTACGAATAGAATGCAAAAGACAATTTTTCTGAAAATTTACAAAATCTTACGGATGATAATCCATACTTACACTGATGAAGTAAATTGCCGACGCTGATTATAATTATAATATTATGATTATAATAGTTATTCCTTTTACTTTAATTCAGTAAGAATATTCTACTGGACCGCAAAAACATATTCGGTGCAGTATTAACATAACTTTCGTTTTATTTGACACTTCAATTTATAAAATTATAATTTTGTAATTTAACATACTTAACTAAAAATCATTTATTATTTTGTAATCGAATATTTTAAATGGACTCGTTTTTGACAGTACTGTACAATAACTGACAATATATTTAACGTTTACGTTTATTTTCTTAAATCAATTTAATTTTGTTTTTTTTTTTGTAATAAGAGATATTTTTTTAATTAAAATAATGTTGATTGCTACTTTTTTTCAAATGTGTAGATTTTCCAAAAAAATCAATTTTTCCCTAATAAGCCAATTTTTCCGTTTTTTTTCAACACTTTAAAACCCTAGTTTTGATAAACATACAGGCACATACAAAGATAAAAATTGTAGTCATAATTTGCATGAAATGCTTGATCTCAAATTAGCACAAAATCATCTCTGCAATTTATTTTTATAAAAAATAAAAATGATAAATGTTAGCTTAGTTTAAATATGCTGGTTGTGCTAGAAATGTGGGAATATATTATATGAAGAAATAAATTTATATCTTAAAGGGATATATCTCCAAAACTAAACATATTATGGAATGCAGTGAAATTTTTGATATTGATAGTGATTTGAAAAAGAAAAGGAAGGTGCGATAAGTGTCTTAAGGATTTAAGAAAAGTAAATATTTTCGTAAAAGTATTTAAAAGATGATAAAGGAAAGATATTTACTAAAAGATGGAATACGTTAAAAGATATTTTTAATAACAAAAATGTAATACCCGCCAACAGATCTTTACATTAAATTTGCCTTAAATTTTAGTGAACTAGGTATTGTACAGTAATTTTTATAAATGGATTTATATTATTTTTTAGTCACAGTAAAGATTAAACCATAAATAAACAATTTAAAAAGGTCAGTGGATATGTATGAATTTAAAAAATATTCACTAGCACCTTTAATATACAGGATGTCTCGAAAATGGGGAACTAATTATAGAAGAAGGCATTTTAAAAATAACATTCCAAATCTTTATAAAATAATTGTCGTCATTTTCGGAACACCTTGTATTTTCCAAACATTATTAATGTATTTATAAACTTAAGACTTTTATACATATAGTCATATAAAAAAAATCTAACACAAGTTAAATAAAAATCAAATAGTTTTAACAGTGTTTATATTTCAATTGAAATAAACTAAGCAACAAAATAAATGCACCACCCTGAAATATATATTTTAATTATAATATGAGGACCCCAGAAGCCAAGGGATACAAGTGACATTTAAAAAAAATGTAGTTATGTACAGAAAAAGATAGTAAATGGTACATTTTACTTGGTATCCAAGGGATATAACTGAATTCTAAGCTAAGACATCTTGAAAAACAAAGTCATAAAACAAAAAACAATTTTGACTACAAATTACAAGGTTTTTTTTACTTGATTATGAAACTAAACAAAATGTACTTGTACCCCTTGGCTTCTAGGGTCCTCATATATAATCTTTGCTTATTTGTTTTGACTATTTAAAAGAAAGAGGGTAGGCCAAAGTCTGATAAAAATGTTAAGTTCTTTACAAGTTCTTACATCTCATATGACATGCGTTACCTACTAAGTGATGTGGCAGCTAATGGCTCTGCAATTAAGTATTAAAATAGCTTAAGAGCAGCAGCACAGTTTTTTAAGCCAGCAAACCGAAATGAACTACGGAATGCTGTTGAAAATTCTTGGGAAGAGTTTAAGACATTTAAATCTGCAGCTATTTCACTTAAAGACCAATTTTCTTGAGCAATATGTTAATTTAGTTATATTATTTTTATTTACCTACTTGTTACCTATTGTTGTACAAAACCAAATTAAAATTAATTTATTTGTTATATTGTTTATAGTATTGTTAAATATTGTTAAATATTATTAAAAAATAGAACGATTTAGGATATTGTTCTTATTCTTAGTATCCTCCCCTCTATTTGTAACTGCACTGGCTGAAGCCAGGAATGAACAAATTAATTTTATGAAAAAAATCCATGACAACCAAAAATCGTTCGGGGACGCCATTTCTGCCGTGCTTAATGAAAACGCCGTAACCAACAATTTTGCGATTTTTGGTTTACGGCATTTTCTACTAGAACAATTCATCCTGCGTCTATCCCCGGTACTCAAAAAACCGTATAGATATAGATACGGTTTTTTGAGTACCGGGGATAGACGCAGGATAAATTGTTCTAGTAGAAAATGCCGTAAACCAAAAATCGCAAAATTGTTGGTTACGGCGTTTTCATTAAGCACGGCAGATTTGTACATTAATAAGAAAGATTAAAAAATAGTTTTTTAAATTAATATTTTTTAGTTAAAGAAGACAAATTCAAAAATGCAATATTTCAGGGTGATGTTGTTGCTTAACTTTGATGATTTTTTTTTAAATATAATTTTACAATAAGAGTAAATACATATTGCCGCATATATGTATTTATAATGCAGGTATACCCACCCAAAATATATCTTCTTGTTCCCCTTTGTAATATATGAAGCTATTTATAGCTGTGATTTAAATAAAAATATGTGAATATTTAGTAAATAGGATTTGTAGTTATTTATATGATATAATATATGTAGGTGCACAAGGATCAAGTTTTCACATTCCAAAAAAATATATTATTGTATTATGTAATTAGGTAATACCAAAATATGTCAATTTTTAACACACCTACATGTGTAATGTAACTAATATAATTTTTTTTTGAAATGATAAATGTGTTTAATGTAATTAAGCTCAAAATGTTAAATAAAAAGTAACAAGTACAGTTTATAATAAAAATAAAATCTAAAATGTTGATGTTTTTAATTAATTAAATTTTACCTTAAAAATATTATTCATTTAAAATGTCATAAAACTCTGGTAATGATTGTTCCAGGGAATATTTTGAAAAGTCAATGTTTAAATTATTTCTTAGTTCTATGGCCATACTGGGATTAACACAAAATCTTTGTAATTTTTTATATAAATCATCTATATCAGAATATAAGGATTCTTTTGGATAAATTTCTGGGTAAACTAAACCATTTGGAGCTAAGGGAAAGCATCCATAATATGTGGCTTCCATCCTAAAAATAAAAATATTGGAAAATCTATTAATTTATTTTGTTGTAGGTATAAACTTACATTGAAACACCAAAAAATTCATGTTTAGCTGTAGACACAACAACATGACTAGACTGTAATATACTGAAATACTCGTTTTTACTACTAACAAAACCAAAATTTATAATCTCTTCAGCAAATATTAATTTAGCCTTTTCAAAAATTTCAGAATTTTTTGTGAATGTCTCACCAAGTAAGGATAATTTAAAATTGCAGTTATTTTCTTTTAATTTCATTAAAACAGTGAAGAAATCGTCCGGTCCTTTGTCAAACTCCCATCTATGAGGCCAAACTATGTGTAGACAAGAGACTTTTTTTTTATTCAAAAATATATCTTTGGGTAAATCTAAAGGAAAATATAAAACTTTAGATTTGGATTGAATCTTTTCTTTGATATATTTAGGCCTGTGATCTGGTATTAACTTTACTCGTTTATTTATATTATTTAAAAATGATTGTCTGTTAAAATCTGAGTTAAATAACACTATATCAGCAGTCAAACTAAAAATAATTATAAATAAAAAATATAATCATCAATAAATTAATAAAACATTACCTTGTAATAATTTGATTATATGCATACTGTACATCCCTTTCTTTTATCTCTTGAATAGGATAAACCAATTGATTTTCATGAAAATATACAACTTTTTTCAAAGATTGTAAATCTGATCTTAACCCAATTAACTCGGTTAAGTTTAAAACTGAGCTACAAAATAAAACCTTTTCACCCGTAATTACTGGAATTAAAGTAGATAAGACTAGAGCTCCACATCTTGCTCTCCAATGCCACTTTTTGGCCGGTAAATTGACAAAAGTGTACAATTCTGGATTTATATCTAACTAAACAAAATAAAGCATTAACCATAGTTTCTGGTAACATTATAGAACATACTTTTAATAAGTGTATCTATAAGAGCCTTATGAGAGCCCCCGTAAAAGGGTTCTATGAATAAAACTTTACAAAGTGACTAGGTGCACGTTAGAGTGCCCGCAATTTATTTTTTATGGGCACGTTAGTGACGTCATAATAATAATCCGGTTTTGTTACCCGAACATATAATTTTTGTTGTCAAGCTAGATAGCGTAGATGGTAGGGCGTTTGCTCTGCATGCGAGAGGTCCCGGGTTCGATTCTCAGAAGTTGTCGAAATTTTTTTTACTTTTTTATTTCATAAATTTGTTGTTCCTTTGTTAAAAAGTGTTTTATTTTTATCGTAACATAAATTAGCCCATTTTAGTTGGGTTTTTTGCTCAATGGGGCGGGGGGGGGGGCCAATGGGGCGGGGTCGGTTGGGTTGTGTTGTTGAGTTTGGGTTGGTTTGGTTTTATTACGTAACTAACGTGCCCTTAACATGTATACAGGTACAATTTATTATTATATTATTGTTGTGCCGCCAATTTTAAATTAAGCGGCACGGCAGTGATGACGTTTTTTATCTATTACGTCACTAGCGTGCCCGTAAAAAATAAATTGCGGGCACTCTAACGTGCACCTAGTCACGGCGAAAACTTTATTTTTTAAAGCTGTTGACATTTCAAAAAATGTTAGGTTGGAAATAATTGAGGTTAGGTTGGTTTGCATTAGAGGTGGGCCACAATCCACACATTGTGTGGATTGTGAGGTGGGCGATGTTTTGGTATCGATCAGGGTGGAAGAATTCCACCCTGGTATCGATGCTCGATGTTTGCGATAAAATATCGATGTTATAAAAAAAATATTGAATTTAAAAATCAACAACCCAGCAAACACACTAGTCCGGCCATGCAATGGCACATTAATGGGCCATTGCATTATGTATACATATAATGGCCCAGATTTTATAATGGCATGTTTAAATTTATAACAGCAAGGATTTAGCAACGTCGTATATACGACGTTGCTAAATCCTTGCTGTTATAAATATATATAAACCTTTTGGCTATCGTGGTAGAAATATTTCTACCACGATAGCCAAAAGGTTTTTATTATAGACATACTAATATGCCCTATTAAAAATGCCATATAGAAACACAAAATAAAAATCTATCTGGTTCAATATAGGAATTTGAAACAGGCATAGCACTATTGAACCAGATAGAATTTCATACCTGGAAATTTGGTTTAAACCATATAGAAAAGTGATTTCTATATGGATTGCCATATAGGTTCATATTGCTCTATCTGGCCCAATATGGTTTGGGTGTGAAAAAATTATTACCATATAGATCCATATTTAACCATATAGGGGAATCTATATGGTTTAATATGAGTCATTCCAAATAAAAACACCAAATGGGGTGCGCTGCGTGATTTTTTATTTTGATGAAAAAATTTGAGGATGATCTTTTAGGTGTCAAATATGAAAATCCGTTGCCCTTTAAATTTTGTGTTGCTTTACTTTTATTTGGCACCCCTTAGAAGTCTGAAATAGTGTCAATTTCTTACTCTCTTATAGTGGGCCAGAACTTTTTTTCTGTGACAAATATTGAAATAATTTTAATTTTGTTTTACTGTCCAGTATACTTATAAGTGTGTTTTCGATATAAATTATTATTATCCAATTAGTTAATCTCATAAAAGAATGGTAAACCACTACAGATTCATGATAATTTGCCAATTTTTGTGATTTTTGTCTGGCTCCTGTGCCTATTCTACTAAATTTAGAAGGTTCATTTTTTTCAGGTATAAAGTACTTATACAATAGAAAACGTAACTATTATTTTAAGTTTCTAGACTATCAATTTCTTTATTAAAAAAATTATTGAAAATTGATAATTCTCAAAATTAGCCAATTTTGCCCTCAGAAATCATTATGTTGAGGAAAAAATAAAAATCTGAAACTTTCAGGAAATGTAGTCCCCACCTTCATCTTTTCAGTCCAGTTAGTCTTGTTTTGTTATTTTTATTCCTTTAAAAGATATATTAATTTTTTTAATGCCCGTTTAGTAGCGATATTGTTAGTTTTATTTATAATTTAAAATTTAGATGGCTTTCATGTTTGGTGGAGAAGTGTCAGAACTGTCAAAAATATTTCATAAATATTATTTGTGCGTATTTTTTTGGTAAATTTTGTATATAACAAAATAGTCATATTATGTTATATATAAAACTTTTAAAATCACCAAAGGAATACCACAAATAATAATTATGAAATATTTTTGACAGTTCTGATATTTTTGGTAGTTATGTTATATTTTATGTATATATATATATATATATATATATATGATTATATATTATATACATTATAATGAAGTGTTTAATTGGCTATTTGGTGTTTAAAGAAGATAAAAAATATATTTAAGATCCTTATGGTTTATATCGTTAAGTATAATAAGTGAAATTAATAAAGAGTTTCTTTCACAATTTAAACCAAGTTAGTCTTGTTCCATTATTTTGATCCCTTTAGTAAGGCACTAAATAGTAAAAAGTTAAATGTATGTATTTTAAATGTTAGTGTTGGAAAAAATTTACACAATCTGTAAATACTTCTTTAAATTTTAGTTTTTAGGTAACTGGTTAAAATAAAACATGTTATAATAAAGGGGTTTATTTAGAATATTTTTTGGTTTTTGCTTATTTTTAACAATTTAAAACTTCTCAGAACTTAAATATTTTCTATAAGAAAGAGGTACAAAATTATGATATGTTCTTGCATTTTTAATTGCAATTAAATTCATGAATCTCGAACACTCCGTCATTTATTACACTTGCAAACTTTTTGAAATCACAATTTAAATACGCACAAATAAAATTTATGAAATATTTTTGACAGATCTGACATTTCTCTAACAAACATGAATTGACAAAGTCAAAGCCATCTAAATTTTAAATTATAAATAAAACTAACAATATCGCTACTAAACGGGCATTAAAAAAATTAATATATCTTTTAAAGGAATAAAAATAACAAAACAAGACTAACTGGACTGAAAAGATGAAGGTGGGGACTACATTTCCTAAAAGTTTCAGATTTTTATTTTTTCCTCAACATAATGATTTCTGAGGGCAAAATTGGCTAATTTTGAGAATTATCAATTTTCAATAATTTTTTTAATAAAGAAATTGATAGTCTAGAAACTTAAAATAATAGTTACGTTTTCTATTGTATAAGTACTTTATACCTGAAAAAAATGAACCTTCTAAATTCAGTAGAATATGCACAGGAGCCAGACAAAAATCACAAAAATTGGCAAATTATCATGAATCTTTAGTGGTTTACCATTCTTTTATGAGATTAACTAATTGGATAATAATAATTTATATCGAAAACACACTTACTGGACAGTAAAACAAAATTAAAATTATTTCAATATTTGTCACAGAAAAAAAGTTCTGGCCCACTATAAGAGAGTAAGAAATTGACACTATTTCAGACTTCTAAGGGGTGCCAAATAAAAGTAAAGCAACAAAAAATTAAAACGGCAACGGATTTTCATATTTGACACCTAAAAGATCATCCTCAAATTTTTTCATTAAAATAAAAAATCATGCAGCGCACTTTTAAATTCATTTTTGGTGTTTTCATTTGGATTGACTCATATGCAATTTTCGTTTAAATATATATACATTTTAAAATGGAATTCCATATTCAACCATATTATATATATATATATATATATATATATATATATATATACACGGAGAAAAAAGTTTATTGCTCCCAAATAAAAAAAATATTTAAATATGGGACAAGGGTACAGTTTATTTATCCTAAATATATTTTTATTCCCGACATATAATGTTTTACTAAAGTATATTTATCGTTATTATTTCGACTATTTAGAGGTAATAAACAATATATTCACTACAAATAAAAGTATTAGGTAAACAGTTTATTTGTCCCATTTTTTTCTCAGTGTAGGTATATATAGGGAAACCTATATGGAAAGACACATAAAACAGAAACCAGATAAATCCATATAAAAATCTCTATATGTCCTATATGGAACGACCTGGTTTACATTTTGGAATCTATATGGTTTAATATGGAATTTAATTTTAAAATGTACAACTTATAAGTGTAAACCAGGTCGTTCCATATAGAACATATAGTACCATATAAATCCATATTAGTTTCCTTATCTGGATCAATATGGGTTCTATAGGGCATTTTTAATAGGGTGTAGATGGTTTTTATAATTATAATTAATTAACCATTTTGTTTGTTTTCTGTGGTATACTAATTGTTTTGGCATTGTTTTTTTCATTGTATTTAGGTACAAATTTTTTTTTTCTTTTTATAAAGTCAAACCACAGAAATATATGTAACCTAGTCGATGTAAGCAAATGATTTAGAAAAATTTGATATAACCCACATTCATAGCAAACGGAAAATTATAGAAGTGTATAGGATGACGCCACGTTTGAATATCGTTTTCTAAATCTCCCCACGGTATAGATTTGTATTCGTCAGTCGAGCGTTTCAATACTCTCCACAGTATAGAGGTCGTAATTTCACTTTTGAACTAGTATTAATATAAAAATTATTTTATGCTTAAATAAAACTATATACGACATGATTGTGATTTTTTTCATTTTATTAATTAATTAAGCTGTGTTGAATATTTTTCTTAAAGGAATAATTGCCAATGGGCCATTAATTCATTTGTTCGTAGATGCTACAATAACCTGCACTGGTGTGTACTTTTTCATCAACCAGATTTAAATATTGCTGTACTAACATATACCAGTGGAGATAGTGCAGGGTCTACCGACAGACCTCATTACTAAATTATTAAAGTTTAATAGCATATATGCATATTGATCATTTTTTCAACATAACCTCTGAAATTTTTAATACAAATATAGGAACTTTATATAAAACATAAATATACTTAACATCATATCCTCTGTGCTTTACATACCTGAGTTGTTACGGTAAATAAAAATCAGACAAAGGAACCAAAGAAAGGAACTATTTTCAACAAAATCATATGCAGAAATGAGAAAATTCAAACTACTTGCATCCATCAAAAGAT